GGTAAGAGGGAGATACTTAAGTGTTGACAGAGTCATATCCATACACATTTTAGTTTTTTGTGAATTGGATCTGAACTGTTTTATCAATCACCCAAATTCAACTACAAGCACCCACATAAGGAGCATATTAGTATAAAGTGAAAGGTTGGAGACTAAATGAATAGCACTAACTTGATCAAAATTATTGCTGTACTGCCTTACTTTTGAGCTTTTTCCTCTTCTGTTGTTTCCTCTTCTGTTGTTTCTATTTCACTGGCTAACTTCACCAGATCTTGGACGAGGATTTTCCCTTCTGTTACAATATATACCAACTACTAGTTAATACAAAAGAGGGAAAAATGATATTATTAAGGATATCGATCATAGACAAATAATATAGTGTTCTCTGTCCCAATTATGTGCAACATCTTCTATTCTGGGACATTTGACATCTCTAAAATAACACAGCAATATTTTTAAACATTTCACTATAAAATTCAAACCAAGCCTTGTCGTGATGCTTACCAGATCTAATTCAACAATCAATCACTTAAATTTGTTCTACTAATACCACTATAATAGGCAAGTCAAATTAACTTTATATCTCCAGATATAGTTGAAGCTTGTCATGTATAATTGGAACCCACAGAACAAAAAATAATTGTGCTACTCCATCCAAGCCAAGAAATTAAACTTAAAGTTTGAGACTAACTGGAGAATACCCTTCCTTCAATTGAGCTGCTATTTAAAGTCTCCTTCTATCTTTAAAATTGATAGAACATCCCGACTCTTGGAATCTCCTTCTCTCGCAGCTTTAATTCATGACCATTTATTGTTCAATATCTTTGATTGGAGGAATCAAATGTGCGGGTTGACTTAAACTTGGGTTGGTCAAAACGGGTCATAAACCTACCAAGCCAACGGTTATTTGGGTTTATATGGGTTGAGTCAAGATGGCTTAATAATGGGTTGAAACACAACTTGCTCAACATGACCCAACCTCCCCTCCTTTTTTATTTTTCTTTTTGAAAAGAGAATGTGAAAGCTAGCAATGATTTTGTGTATGTATTTAGTTAACTGATTGAGTGAATCATTCTCCAATCTATTTCCAATTGATGTGCACATTTTATTTGTGATCTGTACAATAATAATGTTTATCTTGTTGAAACAAATTTTCAAATGTACATTCTTCAGTTTTTTAAACGTATATTTCCTTTAGTAGATGTGGTTAAAATATGATAGAAACATTTATAGACAACAAGTTGAAGCATATAAAAAGAAATACACCACAAATTACTACTGTGTTACATCAATCTCTTTGTGATGAAAATACTTACGAGTATTTGATTTTTCATAATAAAAGATTCTACCATCGACTCTTTCCATACCAAATTAATATGTGTGGGATTAAGAGAAAAGCTGAAAGATTGGACTGTTCTAAAAAATATGTAGACTTGAAGAAAAAACAAGCACTATATAACAGTAAAAGCATATTACTAATGAAAAGTATTGTATATAACTTATCTGCGAGAAATAGTAAAAGAAGAAAAATGACTACATTATAACAAAAGAATAAGCACGCCAGACTTTTACAAGTGACTCTTCGGTGGATCACAGAAATAGAGAAGTGTATTTCGTTTTTGAGTTACCAATCCTGTAGAGGAGTTACCTTTGGCAGGAGCCAAAAAGAGAAGCAAATTCAACTTAGTTTTGGAGAAAAGAAGCAAAAAAGAAAGAAGTGAAAGGGTAAAGTTTTATAACTTTGGCATACGGCTTGCATACGGAGTTTTTCCTACGTTAATAAAATTATGTATATTATCCAAAAAATAACCGCCCGGTCTGGGTTGGATTTTAACCCGTCAGGTTACATTGTTTGAACCGATTACCCAATATTTCCATGGTCCCTTTTGGGTTCAACCCAGTATAATCCATCAACTATTTTATTAATAACCCAACCCATCCAAGCTCGAACATTGGGCAGGTTATACAATATGGATTGTTCCACCTCTAATCATTATCATAGAGGTTTTATAATAGTCAGAGACCCAGCTAACCATTACTAACTACTGATGAATAGAGAAGAGAATCTAGAGTTCTATTTGCTAACTGCTATTGATGGGCTCTATAACGTGACACAACATTCGTTTTTTTTTTTTTAGGGGGGGGGGGGGGGGGGGGTTGGGATAAATCAACACTAGTTAATACTCCTTCTATCCCATTTTATGCGATGCAGTTACTATGTTGAAGAGTCAAAAAAACTTGTCCTCTAAATAAAATTTGATTTGGAACTACATGATTATGTACTTATGTATAGTTTTTACACAAAAATTTTCCCTTCCGCAGTATGAATGACCAATGCCCACAACCAACCCAAAAATTAACTAGTTTGACAAACTGAGCAAGCCATACCGTCCTTCTTGGACAAATGGAGGACAACAATTTGATGTTAGATTATAAACATCATTCTTGCTTTTCCACTGTAACCTATACTAGTTGCCTGCCATTTATTATCCTCCTTAAATGCCTTCTCAATCTCAAATATAGCTGCATCTAAAAGAATACTCTGGAAACCCTACTAAACTACACTCACTGCAACAAGTTATCTCTTTTGTTTTTTTCCTTATTATTATTATTACTATTTTCTGCTTTGATAAGTACAGCAACAAGATATCTCTTTTGTTTCATCAAGCAGCAAGCAATCACCAACGTCAAAATGTCGATCCAAATTTTACAGAATTTCTTACGCTAGGTTATCTTTTTTATTCCACCTAGGTCCTCAAAAATACATCAGACATTGGGAGGTACAGTTGTAAAGTTGGAAAAAAAAATACGTTACGACAGATAGAAACAAGAATTATCAAAGAACTATTCATGTCTAACCTCTGTCCTTGGAAAGGTTGGCTATGAGCTCCTGAATGCCCTCCTTAGCCAATGTATCCTTGAGGTATGCAGCAGCAGATGCCACCTCCTCTGGAGTGACTTTCCCGTCATAATCCCTGCCGCAGGACACAAGAGAGTTACCTTCATTCTCCTATTAACTTCCAAGCAGAAACTAAAAGGAGCAGAAAGTAATATAGGAGAAACAATAAACAAGATTCTCCATGGAGGAAATTTTTTCTTTTTTATATGGTTGATAGTTCAGCTAGAGAGACAAGTAATCCTATTATGAAATATAAAGATTCTAGTTTTAGCCCAATCACAAAAGAGAAGGATACCAATTTCTGCATTAACCAAAGATACAGAACGCACAGGTGCATTGACATACACCAAATTTACTCATCTGACATTTGCACCCAATGCCAGGATTTTCTGAAACGAAAGACACTCCATACACTACATTATCTACCAGAACCACTATCAGTGGCTAATAAAAACTCCTCCAACCCTAAAGTTTCCTCATGATATAAAACATGTACATGAAAACAGTAAATTGATAGCTCACAGGTGATAATGCTGAAATTACTTCAAATGAAAAAGCTGACAGAACATGTATATATTGGGATATAAAACCTCAATGTTCACTTGCAAACTTGTTATTATCTCTTTTACGTTGAGCAGTGGCAGTAGTAGTTCATTAAACTCGGTGAAAAATAGAGACTGTTCAGATTGTTTAGAACTGCCACTTTTTCTTTTTTTCTTTTTTGATATGGTAGAACTTTCTCTCTTCTTTTCTTGCTTCTCTTTTTTCTCTTATTTTTTTGATAAAGTAGAGCTGCTGCCTCTTTTTAAATTTTTAGATAGTACCTCGAGCGCAATTTGTAGCCCATATAACTAGCTTCTATATACATACCTATCCAGTAACCGCCAACGATTACCAATCTTGGCATCCACATCATCAATTTCCTTTTCAAGTTTTTGGAGCATTACATCAACCTGTTGAGTGGTAATTACAGGAGGTATATGAGTTTTCATGCATAATCTTGCAACTACATTGCAAAAAAGAAATCAAGAATTGGTGCAATTTTAAAGCCCTAGCTAAATATTCCTAGGATAATCAGATTTACCCTGTTAATAAGTGCTGATGAAACTTTATCGTCCACAGTCCGTTCTTTATTGTGGTCAGTGTCTTCCTCCCTAGCAGCTTTATATGCCTTTCGGGCTTCTTCTTCACCTTCAGGGCCCCCTTTATCCACCATGCTATTGTACAACTCTATCTGCAATTATCAGAACAAAAATAGCTTCAACGTTGAATTTGTAGTGTTTCCATTGTATTAGCATACATATGCACTATGCTGTCAAAAGAATTTACAGTCGCAGTAGAAAAACAACTATGAATATGATTGCAAGAGGACAAGGTGACTGAAAGCAGTCAAGGAATAAACAAAGTGTCACATATGAAAGTCCTAAAGTTTCCCAACCATCCTCCATCCTCCTCCCTCCTTACGGTAGTACCACATTTGTCTTTAAATAATAGAAATTTCATTAAATACTGCAGTAGACCTAAAAGAACAGCAAAGCAAGTAAGGTTGGGTACCCGAACACATACCCAGTTAGATTCTACTGTCCAAAACCTGCCTAGTGTGCTCTTTTAAGGTTTGTAATCTATCACATTGAACATGCTCCAGTTAGAAGCCTAGAACAGATAGCTACCATAAACAAGGTGCATTGAGTAATTGAAAGAAGGAAAACCAATAGAGACATAAAATAACATGGCTGATGCTGAAAGATCAAAAAAACAAAACGCAATAAATTTAGAGTGCACCATCACCAGGTATAGCTACATAATACTTTAAAAGGTACTAGTTAAGCCTCACATAATGCCGATGACTAATAGGTGTTATTACAAGAGCTCTTTACAAAATCCCCAGTATAATCTTAAGATCGTTAATGGAAAACATATTACAGGTATGAGATATTGAACCAAGCATAAGATAATAAAGTTTGGTGGTATCAGATATCATAGGGACAATTCAAGTCCCATTGATGAACATTCCAAAAACTTCATCAGAATCACTAAGCTATTGCAAATCAGGAGAAACTCATACGACTCCCATTAGAACCACAGCCACAATAAGCTTATTTTGATTTAACTCCTCAAAAGGAAATTGATACAAAGTTCAATTTTTAGCAATCTTGAACTAATAGACAATGCAACAACCCCTTCAAATCGGAAAGAGAAGTAATGGATGGTCATTCAGATTATTTAAATAATGATAAACAAAATAATCTGACTTCAAAAAGCAGGTTCTCCAGTTTAGTTTCTTTAAACAAAACAACAAACAGAAAACAAACAACTGAATTAACTAGATCTAGCATGAAATCTAGAAAGACAGTTCGCTTTTGCTTAAATTCCTTATCAGGCATGTTACGATATTTCAAAATGGTAATAGCTCAAGCAATGATATATTACCTCTTTCTTGACAAGTCTCAAAAACTCATGACGCTCCAGGCTTACAGACTGAAAGAAGAAGCAACAAAGCAGGACATGATCAGCAAAGATCCAATTTACAAAAGAAAAATTCCATCCTAATACTTACCGAAGCTGATGCTAAAACAGCCAATGCACGACTAAGCTCACAAAGCTGCTCTTGTTGATCCAAAGTTTTGGTTTTCTTTAGTTCTTCTACTTCTTTAGCTGTTGCAAGAGTCATCTCTTCCAAAGCTACATCCTTCTGCTTTTCTTTCATCTTAGCCTGCTCTTCTTCTTCTTCCTCTTCCTCCTCCTAAAAGCAACGACTTTAGAATTAGTAGTCTACACATAGTAGTTTTTGACAAGGTAAATAATTTCATTAATAATGGGAAAATCACACGTATACAAGCAGTATTGTGAAAGGTAGAGAATTACAGCATAACATGATTCTCTATGAACGACATGCAATCTTCTATACACACTGTAACTCCATGGGTGCGCCATAAAGAGACTAGGAACGAGAGGCTATTCCTCAAATGTACATAGTTCTTTCATTCCACAAAGATACTTATACTACAAACCTACGAAATCAGAGGTAAGTTTTAAAATGGTCAACAGCTATCTTCAATCAACATCACATAATTATAACATTTGAAAGCTGACACTGTAATATTTACATTAAAAATTTTGCACCCAAAAGGCAAAAGATATGCTTGAAGAAAGAATTGGACATGAATTCGGTCAAGGAAGGATTAGCAAGTGTATCAAGCAAGTGAAAAAGAGGATTTTGTATTATCCTCCCGGTCGCAAGTCTATCTTAAGTTTTCAATAACATAATTGTAAATAACAGTGATGTCAAACATTGAGCCAACTGCTTAACTTCTCTCTTAACAAAACGGAAATGAAAAGGTTAAACTGAGAATACTTTTTAGGAAAATCCTATGTAATATATTTGTGGCGTGAGGCACTATAGAACTGTCTTATCAGAAAAATGTACATTTTCTCTAACTCACTAACCAAGGACATTCAGTTTGGAGTAAAGTAATAAAAACTGAAAATACAATTTGTCTTTCAAATATTGCAAATAAATTCTGGAAACAGTATTCTAAACTTGAAAAATATGAAATCTTCCCAATAGTTTAAATTTATAATGAGGTTTCATGACCCGTAAAATTCAAAAACAAGATTTTACCTTGATGAGCTCTTCTTCCATTTCTAAGAACTCAAGCTTTCTCTTCCTTTCAGCAAGAGAATCTTCAGATGGCATCGATGTAACTTGAACAGTGTCCACCACCTCATCTGGCAGTGATGAAAGTGTAGCTTGAACAGCTTCCTCTGGTTTTACTTTGCCTGATACTGTGAAGGCTCTGACGAGAATAAAATAACACGGTAACATGCTCAGTTGTTAGTCTAAATCACAAGATCCTAAAAACAGGGAATGGAATTACCTAGAAAGGATTAACAAAGAAGATGGCACTGAATGGTTGAGCGATAAGTCCAGCCAATCTCGCAACTGCAAAGATATTAGCATCCAAGAATCAAAGATAAGTCTTTTGCACTTTCATACTGAAGCCAATATATTGAAATACACAAGCAGGATTTGAGTTTGTTGCACTGGAGAATGAGAAGTAGTAAGTGCAGTGTGTTGTGCTTCAACTGATGTGTAAACACATTACAATAAATACCAGCTTGTCTTTGCCATTGTTTTCATTTTTTTCAACTACTTCACATCTAGTTGCATGTTAATGATATTTAGACTGCTGTAAATATTCCTTCTAGAAAATAAAAAAGAGTGAAACAGAAGAAAGTCCACATATTATTCTTCTCTGCTCAGATTATTTGTTCCGTCATATTCTCCATTCGAAGGCAACTGATCCTTGCATATAACGAACACTATCAGGTGTCCCATATTTTGATGTACTTAACGCATTTTCTTACACTGTCCAGTAGCTTCGAGGCTGCTCCTGAGATGGTTTGGAATTCTTTGGTGATGCCAGGCATTGTGCAAAGAGTTAATGTTCAGCTGGAATTATGGTAGAAGAAAGAGAAGACACGGGGCGTGGAAAGTTGCTCCACTAACATTTACGCAAGTCGTCCAGAGAGAGAAATAAGAGAGCTTTGGAGGGTGTAGAGATGAATTTTGTACAATTGAGGAGTATTCTCTTATTCCTTTTTCTTCTGGTGCACCCACGACTTTCCTTTATGTATAGAAGATTGAGTGATGTCCGTAGAAAACCATATATTTTTTTAGGTCTTCTACTTTTTGGTATATTTCTAGTATAAAGGTTCTTTTTTGCCCGGAGAATTGCCCTAAACTTCCTTCAACCAATTTGGGACTCTAACCCACTCTTACGCCCCCACACGTCCACACCCAACAACTAGAGCGTGAACAATATAAAATGGGGCCCAACATCAGATAAACAAAGAATTGGGATGAGATAAACAAAGAATTGAGATGAGTCTAGCACTGATACCATAATAAGAAAATGGACCTTGGGCTTAACGCAATCCCAAAAGCTAGCTCAAGAGGTGATCGCCCAAGACCATATAAGGAGGCCATAACCCATTCCCTCAACCAGTGTGGGACTCTAACACACTCTAACATCCCGCATTGGTTGAGGGAATAGGTTGTGTCTCCTTATATGGTCTTGAGTTAGGCACAAGGGACATATTTTCACAATCAAAAAGAACTGTAGAAGAAATATCAGCCTGGTTAACATTTCTAAAAAACCTTAGATCCCAGAAAAAAAATATGTGAACCTATTGATGCAAAATCCAGTGGCTATTACAGGCGGCTGGAAGGAAGGAGAACATTGTAACCAAAGCTAGCTGCAAAACTAAGGCTGGTAAAAGATTTAAGGGAATGCTAAGCACTGCATATCCAGCCAGCAAATAGCAGCAATTGGCTAGATACACAAAGAGCAGGGAGACGGGATCCTATAGAACGTGAATATCAGAAGGATCTACAAGATTGGGAGATGAAGGAGCTGAATTTCTTGGACTACTATATAAGCAAAAAGTATCATCTTCAAATAGAGAAAAAACAAGTGGATTTGGGAAGGGCACAAAGATGGAGTCTTAAGAGAGAAGAAAGATTTCCCCCACTGGACAATATGGTCAAAAGGACCAAGAAAAGTGTCCTTTGCTTTGAGAGCTGCATGGGATCCATTCTTACAGCAGAGAACTAGACTAAAAGAAAGATAATATGTATCAGTTGGTGTTTCATGTGTACCAGACAGTGGAGGAAGTCAACCATTTGTTGTGTCACTGTCAAACTGCACAGAGGATATGGAGTTCAGAGTGGAACATGTTTGGAATCCAGAGAATGATGCTAGGGCAGCTAAAGACATGCTATTGTGCCTAGTGCCTACTAGGTGGAAGCTCAAGAGCAGAAGAAGAATTGGGTGAAACATTTCGTTTTTCTGTGTTCTGGAGCACATGTCGTACTCTAGTCAGTATTGATGACAAGAGGATCTTTGTTGAGAACCAGGTTTTGACATAGGTTTCTTTACTTTTTGTATACATCTTGTAAAGAGGTTGTACTTGCCCAACATTTCAATAGTATTTACCTATATCAAAAAGAAAATTAGGGATAGAGTCGTATAGACCACTCAAAATAACACACAATTCTCTGGATAAATACTTTTCAACTGATAATTTCCAAAGCCAAATAGGACTCCAAAAACAATAGAGAACATATCTGTTTTCCCATTAAGTTGTTTCAAATGACTAGATTGACAACAAAATCTAACTAGTATGACTATATCAAGAAGTTTCTGCAGGATACACCAGACTTACAAAAATATAGAACCAAAAGATGCAGAAATAAGGTGTAAACCATTGAGAACAAGATAAGGCGTAAAGACAACAAATTTTGAGACAAAAGTAGTTGCTTTGCTCGAGTCAACAATTTAAACCTGCTGTCGCATTTCTTCTACTGAAAGTAATCCAAGTAAGCCTCGTTCTCGACAGGCTTGACGGAGCTCATCCTCCGAAAGGGACTCTATGCCCTCTGCTTTAATCATCTTGTCATCATTCTTGATCCTGCCAAAAGCAGCAAAGTTTTGTTAAATGAGCGAAAAAATTTGCTTCTACAGCACATGCATCACAAAAGCATTAACTCATCTCCAAAATGAAGATGTAACCACCAAGATCTAGAGGAAATCTACCACGAAGAAAGCAACAGAAAGATAGGCTTTTATTGTGAGAGGATACAAATTGCCTGCAGGTCACAGGTCTTGCATGCTCTCATTAGATTTGCTTGACTGTTCTCACTATGGCCTCCATTTTCTAGACTTCTCAGTCCTTATGCCTTTTTTACTGATTCCCTGTTACCAACCAACCCAGCAATTCCCCAAGAAAAAGTCAAACAAACAGGACCACCTGATTATCTAGTTTGGCACGAGGTTGTTGTAGCTGGAAATGATAGGGGCTATAATCTCTTAACAGAACTTTTAAACATATCAAAGCTACCTTATGTGATATGACCATAGGAATGAAAATCAGTTCTTAGACAAACTAACCATAATAATGAAGACCAGTTTATTTTGAAGAGAAAAAAGGCACAACTGAAGGAGGAAAAGGGAAATGAACCATTTAGGCTCGAGTTATTCAAAATTTGGAAGGAAAATAGAGATCAACTGATTAAATATTCGTAGAAGGAAACAAAACATACTTTGGATAGAAAAGGATATATGAACTATTAGACACAAGTCAACTCAAAATGAAGAACCATAATAGTGAAGACCAGTTTATTCTAAAGAAACAATTTTAGGAAGAAAACATAGATGAACTATTTAGGCTCGACTTATTCAAAAATCAAAACTAAAAAGGATAATAGAGATCAGCAGACTAAATATTTGTTGAAGAAGGAAAAAAGAGCATAATTGGAGATAAAAGGATATATAAACTATTAGACACAAGTTAACTCAAAATGAAAATAACGAGACTTACTTTTGAAGCCTCTTCCGAAGCATGAATCGCAAATATGCATCAGTTCCAAAGGGGTTGATACCCATATATTTGCACATATTCACCAACCTCGGTCTGCATTTGACGAATATCAATTGCGCTTCAATATTTTAACCACCAGCAATATATGCAAAAGATTTCCATATAGTCAGAATTAAACCAAGAAAGTGTAATTAGGCAGAAACCTGCTGATATTATCCAAAGTAAGCTCATCATTAAACAGCTTGGCAAATCCTAAAATTTCTTCATTCGATACACTAGCACCCCTTCTGACCTAATCAATTGTCATATAAACATCTACAGTAGTTAGATAGAAAAAGGAGGGGGGAAGAGCAAATAAAAGCTTTGGCTTAATAATTCAAGATTTGGCAAATGAAGAAAATACAAATGAAAGGAAACCCAAAAAAGAAGTGACAAATAAATATTTACCTTATTCATAAATTCATCCAGATCCTCTGCTGTATTCTTTAGTTCTCCGCTTCGTGAGTTTTTAACTTCCTTTGCCATCTCTTTGACTGTTTCTTGTAGAAACTTCGCATATTCAATCCTAGCATTCAGCTTCCTTTTCAGAGCCTCCTGAATTTGAGCAATTGAAACACTATAAGGATGTGCATACTCAGAGTTTAATGGAAATAAAAAGCCTACAAAATCACATCTGACCGACCAGAGACACCCATTGTTCGTAGACACCAAACAACTTCCAATACTCATTTTTTAACTTCAACATGGCACATTTTTTTTCAACTTCAACCAAATATTGTCCAACCACCTATTAACTGGATTGTCCCTGTTACACAGTTCCATGAGCAGACATAACTATATACAAGCCTATCAAACAGAAGCTAACTAAATAAAAGTTGCAATCATGGCATCGTAGTGGATGTTCCTCAGCTTTTCAAGGAAATGCTCATATTCTTCCTTGCGAGGCAAACAATACAACAGGGCAACAATTACCAGGCCCACCAATGTGTAATGCTGGTGCTTCCACTAGGGGGATACTTTGGATATTTGCATAAGGTTATAAAATCTTGTGAATAGAACTGAGTGTCCTTTTTTTTTGTGGTGGGTGGGGGGGGGGGCAGTAACTTAAATTAATTGACTTGTGAAGTCAAGACAATCTCTACAACAGCCGAAAGATAATATCATAATTGAAACAGAAGTTAGTCTTTTCCAAGCATTTCCTTGGAGAAAAAGAGATCAGACCCTAAAAGTATAACAAAGAACATATATGACAATCTAATGTATAACACAACCTGCAGCCGATTTGAATATATATCAAGCACAGAAGGCTCCATATTGAAGTGCTAGAATAACCAAATGAAAAGCTTTGCCCCCTACACCAATCCACTGATATGTTAAAAGAGCCAACAGGATATAATGCTTTCTCCCCCACTGTTTTACCACAAAGCTTTTTCTTCCACTACTATATCCAAGGATCATATTATCTTGAGAACTGACTTACCTCCAGGAGATTTGGATTATAAAAAGCCTATAACTCTTATAATTGAATTTGTCAAGGATAGCAATCTTGACAAACAGCACATGCTAACTCATGAAGTAAAGTATTCCATGTCTTTCAATCCTTAAGCTGCCACAGAGACCAAGAGCTCAGACATCATGGAGCATCTACATTACTTAACAGGGGGAAGCAAGGGGTAGCTGGGTAAAAGTTTTTTTTAAGCGTATCATTGCCTCCAAGATATCCTACAAATTTAGTGACTAAAGGAGCTTATCATTAAAAGGAAATGCTAATCATGTCCTCAGATGACTAATCAAAGGGAAAGTCAGGCCATAACAGAGGGTATTTTTCTCTGAAGGGAATAGGAAAGAAAGCAAATCATTCTTTTCCTGTTTCAAAGAAAAAATTATTCATAGTTACTATCTTGATTGAAATTTTATTTTACTTATAATTTTGCAAACACGTGGAATCTGTCACAAAATTTGGCGTCAGAGATAGAGAAAGAGAATGAGCAGCAATCAAGTTTTAGCACAAAAGAAAATAGCCGCTGGAAGAATTGGCACAAATCTTGCCTCTTCTTTCATCTTATCTTGGAAGGTTGATGGCAGCATGTTGGGAAACACTGCCAGGAATACCGGCAACAAGAACTCCATAAATGGAACAATAATAAACACTGCAACAGGAACCAGCCTAAAAATATCAGCTGTTGTCCGTGTTAGTTGTTGCCTTTCCCTCCGGGAAAGACTCTTCCCGTTGGCCGTCTTCAACAACAGCCTTGAACATATCCTAACATCAGCCCAAAGCAGTTTGGTGCCCAACCAATAGTGTTGCATTGTTGACTTAAATTCATCCTTCCAATGTCGCATCTTTTTTGCCCAATCTTCCCTGGAATCAGTGCAAAAAAGTGACTTAATACATAGGTATAGAACATTATCTATCTGTTATATAGGAATAAAATATATTTTCAACCTGCTCATTGAAGCAACAGCTCTCAAAGCAGGACCAATCCCTAATAGCACAGCCCAAATTTTCTTAAGTATAGGTTGAATACCATTCTGTGAGTCTTGCAGCTGTTTTGCTTTTGCTTTGGCTTTGGCCATGGTTAAATCTTCAACTGCTTCATCACATTCTTCTGGTGAAGCTTCTTTCTTCTGTCTAACAGTTGGTTCTTCATCCTTATCATTTCCTTTACCGAAATCAGGTTGACCTGCTGCAGCTGTCGAATATCGTCGATGGTCTGTCATCCACCTGGTCCCCAAAGGAGAAAGAGACCCATATCTTCCTATCCTCAGACCCAAGGCTGGAATTTCAGATGAATTGGATAGGACACGTTTTCCCCATACTTTTAGTAACTCATTTTCGGTTAGTGGATTTGAATTTCTTTCCTTTTTGTTATCTGTATTTTGAGGTTGATGAATTACTGTAGAGCACCAATCCCAAGAATTAGAAGCCTTAGATGATCCGCAGTTCTCATAGCTCGAAAAACCTCGAATGAAAGTATGAGGTCTCACAGTAGAATCAAAGAGGTTCCTCTTCCTTCTCAATATTGCTCTTGAAGCCATTAGCAAAAAAGTTCTTCTTTGCATACAGCTAATGTAACATATTTCAGAAATTCCTCGCCTGAAGCCAGCCTGTTTAATAGAACAGATTATTATACTAATAAGAGACCACAATTCACTACACATATGGGATCATATAAGCATTTCACTTAACAGATTTTTTTGGATCAACTAATTAAAAAGCAAGTGAATTAGTTCAATTTTATTATCTTCTTTCCTCATTACAACCACCTCCTCAAAGAGAAGCCCGGTGCACTAAGCCCCGCTATGCGCGGGGTGCGGGGAAGGGCCGGACCACAAGAGTCTATTGTATGCAACCTTACCCTGCATTTCTACAAGGGCTGGAAAAGGCTGTTTCCAGCCAGAAAAAAAAAGGATTCATAGTCAATGGAATTGAATGGGGAGTCAGTTCAATATATACCAATTTGCTACAGTTATTAGTAACTGTCATGTATCTGTATTGCAAAGTCATGCTGCCATTCAATTCACCCCGAACTTCACTTTCTCTTCCCAATTTCAACTTTCAGTTGTAAAATCTTTACATTACTGAATGCAAAACAATAAAACTGGAGCAGACAGTCCTTACTGCAACATGAATGCTCTAACTTCAGATGATAAACAACAATTACATTCATTTTTTATGTGGATAAATGACAATGATTGCATCAGTGTTATAAAAAGCATGCGCTTCTTGCTTAAAGCGCAGAAGCGACGCGAGGAGACGGCATAGCGCTTTTCTGCCCTAAAAAGCGACTCACATCAAAAAGCGCTCGCTTTACCCTAAAAAGCGAGAAGCGAGGCAATGGAAAAAGCGCAAAAAAAACGCGCTTAAGCGAGGGTAAGGCATCTGCTAGGCTTTTTTTTTAAAAACTTCGCAAATACACTTGCGCAAACACTCTGCTGCAAGCGACGACGGGTACTGCTGCAAGCAACGACGGGTAAGTTTCTTCTTCTCCTCTTCTTCTCCTCTTCTTCTTCTCTTCTCTTCCTCTTCTGATTTTCTTCAGTTCACTGTTCGAGTTCGACTCCTTTTTCTCTTCTTCTTTCATTTTTTTTCAGTTTTTATTGCTCTGTTCTTCTGCCCTAATTTATGCTCTGTTCTTCTGCCCTTATTTTGTGCTCTGTTCTTCTCTTCGACTACACTGTTTTTTCAGTTTTTACTGCTCTGTTTTTCTGTTCTTTCACTGTTTCTGGTTCGACTCCTAACTGTTCTGTTTTTTTTTTTTTTTTTTGGTTGTTGATTGTAGTAAATTCAATCTTATTATTCAATGGCATCAAGCCAAAAAAGAGATCCAGCTTGGGCATATCTAGTTTTAGTATCTATTATTTACTTCTTGATTTAAGAATTGAAACATTTGTTTAATATGTTATTTTTATTGAGTTCTTGGCCATTTATCTATGCCTAATTTTTTTTATTTATGTGTTAAATTGCGCTTCACATGAAAAAAGCGCGCGCTTTGCTTCGGTGAAGCGAGGCTTCCTCAATTTTTTTCGCTTCTCGCTCTCCAAAACACTGGATTGCATTCTGTTGCAATAAACACTCTTTGCCTCCCACAAAAAGAAAGTCAATCCAAGCAGCAAACAAAAATGCCAAATCCCCTGGCTCGTTGAATCACATATCCACAATCTTCCTTCCTTTTTTTTCTTTTTTGATGACAGAGGTGTTCGGGCCAGCTTGGGTTACCCCCCCCCCCCCGACTATTCCACCATATTCCCCCTACCACAAGTACTACGTAACTCTACTTACCAAGATTGGGCAGATGAGAAGAAATCACCTAGTATTGTTTGTCTCCACTGGGATTTGACCCTGAGACCTCATGGTTCTCCACACACTTCACTGACCACTAGGCCACACCCTTGGGTATCCACTCTTCCTTCTTCCGCAGCTCCAAAGACCTTCCCAAAGCTTATAATACTTATCCAATCTACAAAAAATAGTACTAGCAAAACATTTCCATTACCATCCTTCCTCATTATCCCAAAATTAAGTATCTACAACCACCTCATTACAGTATTACACAGTTTTCCACAAAATCACACCTGACGTAGCCACTTGTCCATCATGCATAAATGTATACATATCCACACTCTTCCTTCTTCCGTAGGTCCAAATAACTTCACGATGTCTATAGTACACATCCCAATCCAGAGACAGATGTCAAGTGTTAGTTACAGGTTCATCCGAACCCAGGAGCTTTGGCTCAGACTCCGTATATTATTCACTACATAAGTACAAATAATTTATTTCGAACCATTAAACCAAATGAGTTGGGGTAGAGTTATGGTAGAATCCCCAAGGCGAAACTTAAAGTTCAAAGTATGGATCCGCGTCAGTCCCAGTCTACAAATTCCATTATCATAGTCCTTCCTCTTTATCCTCAAAATTCAGTTTCTACAACCAGCTAGTTACATAGTTTTCCACAAAATCAAACCTAACGTATCCATTAGTTCATCATCCACAAATATACGTTCATAAAAGCAATCAAAACCTCGTCAAAAATCAAATTCAATTCGCATTGCTTCAAGTTAAGTAAATATAATAACTCGCTCAATGTATGCATTCCAAATGAGAACAAATAGCCAAAAATGTAAGCTAAAGTTAATTTTAAAAAAACACAAAAATATCATCAAAATCAACCGAAAATATAAAATGAAGCAATTGAATTAGCTCTGACCTGAGATTGATGATCGACAAAATCGTGTTCGAATGTTCTAGAAGAATGAAATAAAATCAGCAGTAACGTGTAAATGATTTTTCACCAAATAGTTTAGTATATCAAATCGAACACGTCTTTCAGTAATAGAAATTTATATAGAAAATTCGGAGAGCGTCGAGTCTTCGCGCTAATCAATTTATGGTAAGAGAGATGCACTGGAGTAGGGAGCAAGTATATTCCCGAGAATAGAGTGCATAGCCACTAAAGAAGACTGGGTCGTGCTTTTTTACCTTGGCTAAACGTAATGGACCCTTCTGGGAATGTGTTGGATTAACTTGAAATGGATTGGGCTTTTGGCACTTTTGTGCTGGGAAAATAACATAACTAGGCAATAATTTAAAGAGAAATTTTCATAAAGCACTACCTTTTAGTGGTAATTAGCTATTTATAGATACTATTTGCTATATTACGGATCGTAGATACCTTTTCTGTTGTTATAAAATATATTTGATGGATTTAAGCTACTGTATTCATGAATACAGTAACAAAAATAGGTAGGAATAAGAGAGGTCCAGCTAATCAGTTGTTGTATTCGAGTGTATTCGACTGTATTCATGGCATGAAACATGGGATTACAGCTGGACAGATTATTGTATTCGACTGTATTCACGGCGTGAAACAGGGGATTACACTACTTTTAAACGGAAAGTGAATCAATTAACATAATAGACTCGTAATATAACTCAACAAACTCAATTATACCATACAAATTTTGTATTTCCATTTATAAAAAAGATTCTCAACCGAAAAATACCCCAAAAACATAGCAATCTTCAGAAAAATTATATAATACATCTGAATACATAAATTATATTAATTAAAAAAACATATGAATACATTCATGGCATATAGCGAGACAGTGAATACAATTAAATACATAGAATACAACGGGATACATTGAAATACAATAAAAAAAGACAGTGAATACAATGAAATACATGGAATACAGCGAGATACATTGAATTACAATGGAAAAAAGATAATGAACACAATGAAATACATGAAAATACAGCGTGATATATTAAAAATACATTGAAATATATTAACAGAAAATCAAGTTGCTCAGTCCCAAACTCCATTGTCTTTGTTCAAGAACAAACCCTAATTTCCGGCGAATTCGCTGTCGAGCAAAAACCTTGAACAACTTCAGCCAGAGGAGTGGTTTGTGGTATTGGCAATGGAGAAGTTCTACAAACAGGACAAGTTGGATTTAACCTCAGCCATGGATCTACGCATTTTAAGTGAAACAAATGCCCACAATCTGGCAATAGCCTTAACATGTCACTGTTCTTGTAATCCGCCAAACAAATTGAGCAACAAGTCGCTGTTGAATCCTTGTGATTGACCTTAGCTTCTGAATACAACAACTTTGGATAACTCAATAGGGTTTCCTCATCAAGCCCCACTTCCACCACAACTTCTTGAACGTCCTCGTTGCTATTTTCATTTTTCAGGAATGGGGGAAGAGAATAACATGTATCAAAGTAGAGAGAGAAAGAAAATAGTGTAACTGAATAGCGTATTTAGTGGCTTAGGGGTAGGAGGTAACCAAAATTAGATATTTTGCTATAAATATTAAAAGGTATCTATAGAATATAATTTTTTAAAATGGTATTTATTTAANTACAAATTTTTGAATTTTCCAATTTATAAAAAAGATTACTCAAACCGAAAAAATACCCCTAAAAAAACATAAGCAAATCTTTACAGAAAAATTATATAATACATCTGAATACATAAATTATATTAATTAAAAAAACATATGAATACATTCATGGCATATAGCGAGACAGTGAATACAATTCAATACATAGAATACAGCGGGATACATTGAAATACAATGAAAAAAAGATAGTGAATACAATGAAATACAGCGAGATACATTGAATTACATTGAAAAAAAAGACAATGAATACAATGAAATACATGAAAATACAGCGTGATACGTTGAAAATACATTGAAATATATTAACAGAAAATCAAGTTGCTCAACCCCAAACTCCATCGTCTTTGTTCAAGAACAAACCCTAATTTCCAGCGAATCCGCCGTCGAGCAAAAAACCCTTGTGTTGTGCGCGTCGATCGGAAAAAACAATATATTCCTCAAAACAAATCCCATAATTCACATTATCAGAATCCAAACACTTAGTTTCTTCTTTCTCCAATATTAACATACTTATAGCTTTCAAACAGCAACAAAGAAGAAGGGAGAAGAAAGAAAATAAGAAAAAGAGAAGAAGAAGGAAGTGGAAGTAGTGTCTGAAGTTTGCTCAAATCGGGTATACATTAAAAAATTTAAGAGAAAGCAACGTCCGATGGAATTGGAGAATTGGGATCGGAGAGAACGTAGGTGATATGGGTGAGATGAATTTTGAGATTGAGCATCGTGTTTTCAGTGAATGGGGAAGAGAATGGTATGTATCAAAGTAGAGAGAGAAAGAAAATAGTGTAACTGAATTGCGTATTTAGTGGTTTAGGAGTAGGAGTTAACCAAAATTAGATATTTTGCTATAAACATTAAAAGGTATCTATAGAATATAATTTTTTTAAATGGTATTTATTTAAAATAAATAAGGTGTTAACCTTTGCTATGGGAGGTAAAAATTTCTAATTTAAAAAAGGATTAGTTACCTCCTATAGCAAATGTTGATACCTTATTTATTTTAAATAAATACCATTTTAAAAAATTATATTCTATAACTACCTTTTGATTTTTATAGCCAAATACCTATTTATGGTTACCTCCTACCCTTAAGCCATAAAATACGCTGCCCTCTCTCTCATAAAATACGCTGCCTCTCTGGCTTGACCCTAATGAAGGCAACGAAATCTCCATGGCCAACTCCAGTATGTTTCTTCTTCTTCTTCTTCCTTTCCGATTTTGATTGTTTTCTTCTGCCAATATGTTTCTTATTCTTCTTCCTTTCCATGGCAAGGAATTTTTTGGGACTTTAACTTCTTGGCAATTTCTTCTTCAGTGGGTGCTAGCAATTTCTTCCAATTCATTACCAGCGGGTGCTAGCCAAATTCAGTTCTGGGACTTTAACTTCTTCAGATGCGTTATGGATGCTAACAATTTCTTCTTCAGCAATCTTTCTCGTTTTCTTCTTCTTTCTCTCATCGCTGCTTATGAAATCATGGTCTGAATCCGATGGGTCGGGAAATCGTCGACTAAAATAGATCGTCTGAAGTTTGGGGTTGAGCAATTTGAAGATTTTGTTAACTTTTTTTAAGAGCATTTCAATGTATCTTGTTGTATTTCTATGTATTTCATTGTATTCACTATCTTTTTTTTCATTGTAATTAAATGTACCTCGCTGTATTCCATGTATTTCATTGTATTCAGTGTCTTTTTTTCTCATTGTATTTCAATGTATTCTGTTGTATTCACTGTCTCGTTACATGCCATGAATGTATTCATATATATATTTTTTTAATTAATATAATTTATGTATTTAGATGTATTATATAATTTCTCTGAAGATTGCTATATTTTTGGGGTATTTTTCGGTTGAGAATCTTTTTTATAACTGAAAAATATAAAATTTGTGTGTTATAATTGAGTTTGTTGAGTTATATTAGGAGTCTATTATGTTAATTGATTCACTTTCCGTTTTAAAAACGGTTTAATCCCCTATTTCACGCCATGAATACAGTTGAATACAATAATCTGTCCAGCTGTAATCCCATGTTTTACTCCATGAATACAATCGAATACATTCGAATACAACAACTGATTAGCTGGACTTCCCTGATTCACGCCTATTTTTGCTACTGTATTTATGAATACAATAGCTTAAATACATCAAATACATCTTATAACCACAGAAAAGGTATCTATAATCCGTAATATAGCAAATGGTATCTATAGATGGCTAATTACTACTAAAAGATAGTGCTTTATAAAAATTTCTCTTTAATTCTTAGCAGATTTTCTTAATTTACAATTTTAACAGTCATGTATTTGCATTTCGATAACAATCCAACTGGACTGTATTTATCAAACTGGCATCCCATTACTCCAATCCCAATAAAAATCATGTTTCATTAAATTCCAACAACCTTTAACTAATTTCAGGTTAGATAGAGTTTTATTTTTTAGGAGTATATTCTAGAGGTGTTTACTCGATCGGCTGGACATGGAAAAAAATAGCTCGTCCGGTTAGTGGGACGGGCTGGTAGTAGGCTAGGGTTCTGGGCTGGTAGTGGGCTGGGATTTTCCGGGTTAAGTTGGGTCGTCCGCGTTCGGGCTTATCATGTCCGGACCGGGCCGGGTTATTTTTTTTTTAAGTGTATTATATTTTCTTATTTAGTGTAATTGATACTTAAATTTTTGAAAACTTTTAAATAATAAAATAAGTATTTTAAGGAATAAAATTAAACTTTTAAAGTTTAAAGTTTAAAATTTAAAATTTGAATTTTAAAATTTTAAAATTGATATTAAGTGACTACATAAAATTATTTAATAAGACCAATATGTAAGGATCAAACTTCAAAGACTTTCGTTTCATATTTTCATTGCATAACAATACTGCAAATTAATTTGCAAGTTCTATTTTTATTTTTTTATTTTTGAACTTGCAAATTAATAGTTTATAAGAATTATAAAAAATAAGAAAGAGTACATCACATGCTTTGCATCATTTTTGTATGTTCATCCATATCAACTTGAGGTTATTGGTTCCCGGGATTGCTTAAATCGGAACCACAAACCATTATATTTCTTGGTCCTCTAATTCATCTACCTTTTCACACCCTTGATTTCGCCGTTATGATCTTATCCAACCGTTGAATCACACTAGAACTTCCAAAGCGTTGCTACCTAATGAATAACGGGTATCTCCTAGCTTTGCTTGACTAATTACGCTCTCTGATGCAACTGTTAAAATCGACACATTTAGCATGTCTCGAGCCATGGCCGCACTAAATTTGATATCACACTTTAATTGATATTTGATGATATTGATACCACGTTTCACTTGATAATTGTAATTTTGTAGTGGCTACCGTAAATAATTGATAAAACTTGAAATAATAATTAATTGAGAACTTGAGAGCAACTAGCAATTCAATAAGAGCAAATATCATTCATAGCCACTCGGGCCAAACCTATAACATCTAGTAGCTCAAAATTGCAATACACATTTAATAGCCCAAAAGTAATTATAGTGGCTAGCCCAAAAGTACTGCTTTCTGGCTTTCTGCTCTTCCAATTGAAGCTCCAGCTCCCTTTCCTCTCTCTTCCTCCTCCTCCGCCATTTCTCGGAATTAGACCTACCTTCGGCAGGCGGTTCAATTATATAAATCTGTCCGACAAAGAATGAATAGACCTTCTTGTAATTTTCTACAACGAAAATTAAATAAGATAATGTCTAAAACATCTTTGCTCAACTTTGTCTTAATGCTTCAACGTCATAAAATCATTTTTCTATGACAAAAATTTATTTAGTTATTTTTTTATTGCAAAAAGTTATTTAATGCATTTCAATGTGATTCTTAGGTAAATTTGTTACTTTTACATTATAAAAAATAATTTAATAATATATTTTAAAATTTTAATACGGTACTAAAACACTTATTTTTGGGGTAATTTGACTAAATAACCTTGCAAATTTACAAAGAAAGGATATACCAACTGTAAATGAATGTTTAGGTGGCTGCATAAAAATGTATATCTTAAGCTCACTAATTTTGTTTTTTTGGGGTTAAAACTGTAATGTATTATCATAGACAACTAAAGAGCACAGTAGAGAATTTAGCCAGCTTCTAAGAAGGGTGTTAACATCTGCAAAGCCTCAAACAGAAAAAACACGTATTTCCAGGAATTCAAGGGTTGTTGATTTTGTTTTAAAAGTGGAAAAGGAAAATCATTGGCTAAAGAGAGAGGGGCAACCACCCTCAATTTGAATAAAAATCCCAAGCTCTCTGTTATTGCCTCATTTTTTTTCTGGGCTAACTTTCTTTGCTAGGGAAATCCTTTGGTTTTCACCAACAAATAAATTTCCTTTTCCACATGTATGTCATTAGTTGATTTTGATGGGAAGAATAATTCCAGGCCCACCATTAGTATATATTTACATGGATATTTATGTATTTCTTTCGCTGAAAATAGATTTGAATATTGGTATATTACAAAAGAGGCTGTCACTATACAATTTATATGCAATAGACTTACAAAACATATACAAAAATAAATTGTCATTATACAAAAAATATACTAAATAGAATGTCACTATACAAAATAGACTGTCACTATATAAAAATATACTAAATAGACTACCGCTATAAAATTTATATACAATAGACTGTCACTATATAAAATATATACTAAATAGACTGTTACTATACAAAAAATATACAAAATAGACTGTCACTATATAAGTTAGACTGTTGATATATAAACAATATACAAAATAGACTGTCACTATACAAAAAATATACAAAATACACTGAAAAATACAAGATACACTTATATAAAAATTTGCTGTCACTATACAAANTATATATATGATATTTATATAAAGTTAAATATAAGTATCATCCAACTACCCCATTAAATCCAGACCCACCATCGATACTCACTGTAAAAGTTCTTCACCCACAAAATACTATTATGACAGAAGAAGAAGAAGAAGAAGCAGCTTGACTAGAAACCCCACGACTTTTGCTGTCACTCTTGTATCATGCATCGTAATTGAGTAAATCTTTTTAATAATTGAATTAAAAAATTTGTGAATTTTCCAGGTACTCAAACAAATTTTTCCAGTGAAAAGTAAAAAAAAATAAAGAAAAAAAATATAGATCTGAAATGGGAGATAGAGAAGGGAAGGAAAATGAAAAAAACAACCAAAAAAAGATAAAAGGAAGACGAAGAAGACACAGAGAAAGAAAGAGGATAGGAATGAAAATGGTAATGGAAAAAAAAATATGTGCATTGGATAGAATGAAAGAAAGATAAAAAGGAATGCATTGGATAGAATGAAAGAAAGATAAAAAGGCTATGATTAAATGTTGTCTTGGGAAGATAAATGCATTGGAAATAGATAACGGCTACAAGTTGCAAATAAATTGGGCCGAAAGGCCATTTCCTGTAAGTGGGTAAAAACATGGGCTATTAAAATTTTGAGAGGCTATAGAGGGTAGTTTATCAAGAGGGAATTGAGAGAGAATTAGAGTAGAAGAAGAGATCAAGTTGTGAAAAAAAATGAAGAAGATGGAGGGATATTTATAAATTTTAAAAGGTTAAAAATGTAATTTACCAATTATTAGGGGAGGGGGGCTATTTTATTAAGGGGTACGCCGAAATTGCTAAAATTGCAAAAGATGGTCGTTGCCCAACGGTCATTTTTGAATTTGACCGTTGGAACTGGTCACCCGAAAAAAAATTACCCAACAGTAACCAGGCTGGAACCGGGTAAAAACCCGTGAACGGGTTACCGGGCTAGCCGGGTTCCGGTGCACCGGTAGCCAAATATAGCTTGACTCCGTCCGGCACAACCCCCTACCCTAGACAACCCGTCACATCCCTTACCGGACCGGACTGATCCGGGTCGAATCGGGTTGTCAGTGGGCTGACCCCGGCCCATTTAACACCCTTAGTATATTCGCACCCCGTCTCAATGAGTAATTTCTATTTTTAAAAAATCACTAAATTTGTATAATCAGCCTTCTCCATAACAGACTCGTTTGTTCTGATATTTTTTTGGCTTTTATAGTGAATCGTTGTTATACACCTATAACATCATTTGACGTTTAAATATTTTTTGGTTGTTATAAATAAGATTATACAAAAATTAATTATTTTTTCTTTTTTAGTGTTACATATAAAAGATAAGAAAATTATTTAAATTTGAAATCTCAAAAATATGTATATTTCGTTAAATATTGAAGAAAGCTAATACATTATTAATAAATTCATAACTAAACATATAAAGATTTAAACTCTAAGACAAACATTTTAAAGCTACCTAGAAAAATATATTGTTTCAAGATTGATGGAAGAACTTTATAGTTGTAGCTTGTTTCGTAGATTTGGTTCTCTTACTAGCGATACAACACTTGAATTGGCAAGATTCTTGTCCAAAGTTTCAGCAAAAAGATATCCATTAGCTTTACTTTGAAGAGAATCTAAGAGCTAAACACCTAAATTTTCTTTCTAAATATTTTTTTGGAATTTGTCCAATGAAAAAGATATCATGTGCAAATCTTTAAATCTTATATCTTATGCTAGATAGGAATTTTGTTCAATGGAAAAGATTGTGGGCATATTTTTAAAATTAATATTAGTAATCTTAAAGATTCTATATGGTTGTTATAGATGGGTAACTTTACAAAGAGCGTTCTACTACAAATATCGTTGTTGCTGTTATAGGTGAAAAGTTATTATAGAGAGATAAAATATCACTTAAAAATCGATTCTGAGGAAAACTTACTTTAATAGTGAATGGCTATTATATATGGATGTTGTTGTCTGACTGTATATTGAAAACTGCATTTCATAAAATTTTCTAGCTAGCAGCCTAAAGCAAATCAAGGAGATTCAAAAAGTTTATATATTTGTGCATTATAATTTTCCATCGAAGCAGAACTAAACCATGTTAGGATAACGATATTTTTTGTTAGCAAATAGAAAGACATAATTTGAGAAGTCGTTTTTCATAACAGGTACTCCAAACAAATATTAAGTTTATTATGTAAACTACCAGTAGATATGATACAATAATACTTATTTGGGGAGAGATCAATGCAATTTGTACTTTGTAAAACTTTCTTTGGCACTTAGATCTAACACTTTATATGGTAGTAAAAGGCAATTCAAGTCCAAAGTTGTAAGATGTAGAAAAAACATTGCAAGTATCAAAGAAAGAAAATAAACCACAAAATGTTAGCAGTTACAATACATAATTCCTACATGCTTGTAACAGTCACAATTAAACGAGATGCCTGAAAAAGAAAGCATGAATAGGCTTCATAAGTATGTGTAAAGAGGTTAATAGTATAAATTCATAATAGGGATTTGCCAAAGTAAAGAATAATTCTTGAAAAAATACGAGAAAAACCCTAGGACAGAAACACACCAAACCCAAAATCCTCATCACACAAAATTTATTCATTATGAGATACGGATAACTATTTTATGTATAGTTACTTTCGATTAAATAAAAAAAGATGATATATATAGTATCTTACTCGTTTTAGGTTCTGTTATGAACCAGCCTCAGCCCAATGTGGATACCTGCAAACAAGCAATTATTGGGCCGAGAAATAGGACCAAAAGACCTTTACAAAGATTGAGTTGGGTCCAGGCCCAATTAGCAACTATTTAAAAAGGACTAACGGGTAGAACGAAGGGGTATGTGAATTATGTTAAGCTTCGGCTCAAGTTTGTGCTTCTCATATGCTTTTCTGAGTCTATATCTCATCCCCTTTCTTTTTAGCTTCCTGTTGCAGTTTCTGTTCTTATCTCTATCCAGTGTTGTTTTCTATTATTCTACGGGTATTTAGTTATTGTAATTCCGTTTAGTGAGTTAATACAAATATCGGGTTTGTTACATTGGTGCTTTCACCCAGAGATCTTGAATGGATGACCAAATATGTCGAACTAACAAAGATTCGATTAAGGTCATGATTGATGAAATTCGTTCATTGTTACATGAGTTGGTGGGAAACGTTGAAACGAGTAAGCCTACTCGGCTGGAATTCCGGCGATTCTGTGGCGAGAATCCAGAATTATGGATTTCTCAGGCTGAACAATACTTTAAATTCTACGGAATTTCAGAAATAACAAGTTACTTCTTGCCTCATCCTATCTCGATGGATAAGCTTTGAAGTGGTACCAATGGCTTTTCCGGAACAAGCAATTGTCGGATTGGGAACATTTTACTGCGAAAGTATTGATTCGCTTCTGTAGACAACGTCTCGAGTCGCCGAAGTCACTTGGCTGCTGATAACTAGGGATATTGACGCATTTTATACTCCTTCTTGCTTACGCTTTGATTAGAAATTCATACAAAATAGTCCCAAAAGGCTCACAAGTTGTGCTTGATTGCAGGTTTGATCATTAAAGTGACGAGGTGTCAAAGATCAGCTCAAACAGAGTGAAACTTGCACAAATGCCAAAGATAAGACAAGCTCAGGCTAAACAGGCCTAGTGCGGCCGCACACCACTTTGTGCGGTCCGCACTAGGAGATTCAGAGAGGTGATTTTCAGGCCAAGAGGCAGTGCGGCCGCACTACCATTTAGTGTGGTCCGCACCAGG